ACATTAGTGTACATAGAAAGAGAAAGAAAAGAATTTCAAATAACATTTTCCTAATGAAACTCCCCCAAATACGCATTCTCTGATGGGCAGTTGTCAGACAGATAGGCTCAACTCAAAGTAAGGCTGCTGAGGCCCAAATCTTGCCAAAAGTCTAAAGTACCTCTGGCAATGAACCATGAGAAAAGGGTTAGGCAGGTCCCAGTGAGCTGGGGCAGATGGAGAAACTTAAAATTCAAAATATACCACATAATGAAACGTGAATTCAAGATAAGTCATCATTGTCTCTGCCAAGGGCCAGGAGCAGACTCCCCACGTGTCTCTCACCCATGTCTGTCATCCAAGAATCTTTTTGAAGTGTCTCTTCTCCACATGTCTCTTCCAATTCCCTAGATGCAAGTTACAGCTGGAAAAGTAAGAGCGCGCATGTGTTCAATAGAAGTCAAGCATGGCTGCTTAACTCTGCGCCAATTCCCAGCAACACCCCGTTACATTCAGGTAGTCAAATGCATGACATCCTGGGAATTGTATTTCTCACACCTGAGATCTCTTCAGCACGGAAATGGGAGTGGAGTCTTCAAAAATATCAGGGAGTGGAGTGTTCAAGACATCATTCACTGACTCAGAGTTTGCTCCTGACCGTTCATTTAACACTTGTGACTTACAAAACTAATAGGCCGATAATTATTTAAAGTCTTTGCTGTAGCTCCAAGGGAAATAGTCAGAGTACTAGCTATTGAAATAATTGTCATGGGTTAATCTTTTTGGTATTAAAATCAGCTATAAAGAGTCCATTGTTTAAATATGCAAACTTTAGCCATGAGGACTGTTTCTATGTGTGCTTGTTCTTTGAATTATATAAAAGTTTTTCCAACAATTCTTGGAATCTGGGAATTATATTTTCATTAATAAATTTCTCCTATTAAGTAGGATGTTCAATTATGAAAGAGGTCAATCATCATGGACACCATTAGATGGCAGTATGACACAAAACTGTTTCCATTAAAAATTAGTTTCCAGTACACATTGTGTTGATAGTAAGATTTTTAATTTAAAAATCTGAAATACAAATTGGAGGTTCTGCTGCAAGAGAATGAGAGAACAGAGAAACTAGGAAAGAGCAATGAGATCATGAGATCATGAGAGCTAGTAAGAGGAAAAAGGTGATTCTAGGATTACAAACAGGACTTCTATCTACGTTGCTGATGCCATGAGCTTGAGATGTAAATATTGTGATATTTGGTAAAATGAGGACAAAATTATTGTATTAAAAAAAGTAAAAGGAGAGAGAGAGTCATTTATTCACTCTGAATTCTCTCTAACTTCAAAATAAAAAAAGTTACACAAAATCCATCTATCACTCTATGTGGAAAGGACCAGTAATTAGAATTTATAAAAGTTGGGTATTTACCTAACTAAAATTTTGTACGATAATGATCTCACATGTTGAAGTTCTTTATTAAAGAAAAAAATCAATTTTAATCTGTTTTCAAAATAATCCAATTTTTTTGGAGACAGGTATTATTTCATGCAAAATTTGAATATAGTTTTTGGAATGCAACCTACTCTAAAGATTTGACATCCCAGTCTATAAGAGTTAACAAAAGAAAAAAATTGAGACTACAAACGTTTTACATCCAAAAATTGTTGGGAAGGGGTACAATAGACACCTTACTTAGGTAGTATTCTTAGCTAATAGAGAAATACTGTATTTCCAGGTAGGACTACAGAGGTGGCCAGCTGGGAGGTTCTACTCCTTGTATCATTTAAATTGGTCAGTGGTGGGTGTGAGTTGTGAAGGGTGCAATGTGCTGCTACACTTGAGCCCTTTTCAGTTCTCTGCTCCTTCCTTTGTATGGCCAACTCCCGACATAAGAGAGAAAAGTAACCTATTAGGACCAGCTCAATTTCACGGCATGATTTAGTGAGGCAAGATCCTCATTAATGCCAGGGACTTTGTGGGGGCTCAGTGGCACTGCTTTATAAACATAGTTTGTCCAATACCCAGATTTAACTGACAGGATCTTTTTTCTCAAATTTCTTCCCCATAGATTTTTGTCCAGTTTCTCTAGTTGAGTATTATTATCCACATTCATGAACTTTGTTAAATTGAGAATGTAATCATTTACGTGTATCGAGATTTTTGAAGCTAACATTTCTCCTCATCCTTCCAGAAAACAAAACAAAACAAACCACTAAGGACCTGCCCTGTATTGAGGGTGCCTGATTCTTTCATGCTCCAGGGCATATTGTTATCAGCAGCTGTGGTCAGGGGGAAAAAATCCCCATCCCTGTGATGTAATACAGTACAATTAGGCACATAATGTAGATTTTATGCTTTTCTGTGCAACATCTGGCATGTAGTACTTTCTAAAACCAAAGCTCAGAGAACCAGACCTCCTGTAGCATTTTAATATCAACATGCCTTTTCACATATTAGTTATCTAATGTTTGTGCCAGTTTTTTAAAATATCATATCCTAAATATCACCTCTTAAATGAGTAAATTCAAAATGCCTGCCAGGGGTTATATGTGGGTTTTTTATGGGGGGGGGGAATCGGGGGTAGAGGGAGGCTACTAATATCTGTCCTAATCTAAATACCAAATGAATTTTAGATTGTCATTCTTGCCTGGAATTAGCATTGACCCTTGGGAAAATCATTGTTTATATATTCTTTTCAGTTCCTCAGAATTAAGAATCAATCTATTTAAACCTTGTTGCTGAAATTATATTGGTATTTCTTACATGTTAGGAAAATGTGTATAGAGTTATTACTTTTGTCCATAGAGAAAAAATTAGCAATGAAAGTTTTAAACAAATCATTTCCAGGTTCTCATAAAAAAAGAATCAAAGCACTTGGGTAAAAGATAAAATATTAGCCTGAAATCCTTGTGAACAAAAAACTCTATCACTGAAATCCATAATCTCCTCAAGTAGGATGAAGGAGTTTAAAATAACTGCTTTAGCAAAATGTTACTTGTCACAACATGTTTATAGGATTCCATTTTCTAGTAAAATCCACATCAGAATAAGCAAGAAATTAAAAAAAAAGAAAACACAGATTACACAAAAATGAAATTAAGGATAAAATGAAGACAGAAAAAAAATCACATGAGTGGCATATTTATTATAATACTGTAGTAAAAAATGTTGGTAAGACATTCACAAATGCACATGTAAAATGGCTTCTATCAATTTATAAAAACTTGGCATTTAGTCATGATTTCATTAATTCCATTGAAAATTTTAAAAGTAAGTTATGGAATTGCTACAACTGTAACATGAATGAGCTCTAAAATATTAGAAAATTAAAGTAAAAGGGCTTTAAGTTATCTGGGTAATTTTCAACACTCTCAGATAATTGCTTTAAGATTTATTAATAAGTTTAATGAAGAGATTATCTGAAACTTATTTTAACATTAAAATGTCGGTTTGAGTCTGAACAGTAGACTCAGTGCCTTGGTGCTATTTTGGTAGAGGGATTACATAGGCCTTAGGGAATTATTTTTGAACTCCTGGGGTCTTGTTTTTCTCATTTAGGAGAGTTGTTTACAATGAAAGAGTTTCTCAGGTTGTTTTCAGCTCTAAAATATTGAGTCTACGGATACTACCATAATACCCTTTAATTGCATGGTGACTGCCATGTATTTTTTGAGCATTAAATCTTTTATTTGTATATTTTGGTACTTTCACACCATAGTGGTTCTTAATAAATATCAAAAGCAATGGTCTCAACACCATAATATAAACCACCTTAGAAACAGATGGTTGTTGTCCTGGATATATGTGTAAGTAGAAGGACAGATGGGCAAGACTTATATTCTAACCCTGGAACCTTCGAAGGGGTTAGATGACATGATTGATTTTTTTCCTATACTTTTAAAGGCAATTTGGTATATAAACAAAGAACAAAGCATTTCAACTGTGTGAAACAATACATAGGAAAAGAACTAAGTTCTAACAATATGGCAGACTGACAATGAGATCTACTTCCCCCTAACTAAAACTCATGAAAGGTTGTATAAAATATAGTGGTATTGTTTTAGTAAAAACATAGTAAGTGAGAAACAAGAAAATTCCTCATTGCAGAGTCGAGGAGAATACCCTGAGATGGAATATAAGCTAATGAATTTTAGCTCGGGTTCTTGGGATGTTGACATTTGACTATAGTTCCAAGACAGTGAGCCTCAGGCTTACATGAGGGATGGAGGATAAAACCAGGAGCCTGTAAGGACCGTCTCTTTCCTGTGGAACAGCCTAGAAAGAGTCAAGAATGCTTGTCTTTAAATAAATAAATAAATCTCCCATGAGAGATAAAAGCCTCAAGTGTGGAGATCAACTTTATATACCCATGTTTTTGTATGATTCCCAAGTAGAGAAATTGATGGGCTTTGTATTCCTAGATCAACAAAATCTCTGGGGCATTCTATGAAAGCAGATATTGGGTTGTTTCTATAGTGTACAGTGCTCAAGATCACCATAAGGAGGAAAAAACCCTACAAAAAACAGCAACAACAGTAACATTCTAAATGAAGATAAAAATCAATATTCTGGAAATTTTTCAGCTATCACAAAATAATTCTTTTCCTAACCTTAGTAGTATATCCTAAAGACCTCTCTATCTGATCTGTAATAGCCACATAAAAGATTTGGTAGCCATAATTATGAGATGATATTTTTATTAGTGTAATGTCTTAATTTGATTGTTAAAATATATGATGACTCATTAATGGAAGAGTTTTCGGACCAAGTTATATTAGAAAGCAAGGATTGTTGAGCAAGAAGTAACGATACAGTGTGTCTGTAGAAGTACAAATAACCTTACTTTTTCTTCAAAAATATCAGTGTGGGGCCCAGAAGGGGGTCAACAGTCAGCTCTCAGCAAGAGGGGGCAGGGCTAACCAGGGGCTGCCTTCAAAGATGGTTGAAACCCAGGGGGATTTTCATCATAGGTTTTTGGCATTGGAAGGTCTTTGAAGATTTTTGGATTTTCGCTTAACAGGTGTTCTCTTCGCCTGCTGCAGCCTCTGCTGATCTGAAGCCACACAGCTCAGCACGACTCCTCCTACCTGCTTGGCTTTCTGGAGGTAAGGCCCCAGGAACGCTCCCCTTTTCATCCACTGATTACTTTTCTACGGGAGGGTTTCGTCTCCCTCTTCCACTTTCCCACCCACCCGCTGCCAACTGGTACCCAGTGCTTTAAGGATGAAAACCTGCTCTCAATTACATCAGACAGGGAAAGCCTCGAAGGAGAAGTAGTAGGATGCAGAGTGCCCACTAGATGGCAGAATTGATTAAGCAGATGGTGTGTTAAGGCTGTGAACTCACAAAGCCTATGGGAAGAGGGTGCTCTCCTGCCCTTGCATCCACATTTCCCAAGACTCCTCCCCACCTGCCTCCAGGTGCTGATTCAAAGCCGGCCTGCCATGCTTTTACATTCCTCAAGGAGGTGGCACTTTAGGGAGTGGCATTATATTGTCTGCAGGCCGGTGGCGTTGAATGCTTTGCGATGCATGTGAGGGGTAGGTATGCCCCTTAAAGCTCTATTTCGGGAAGGGGTGGCTTCCAGGTCCACTCACCCAGGAAGCCAAACACTGTTCAAGTTCGCCAGAATATTGGCAGTGTCCCTTATCTTGTGTTTTACAAACTCTGAATTCTCTGGTATAGCAAATTGTCCCGGTCTAAGCAACAGAAACTAGACAGATTATTCAGTTAACAGCCTGGGTTTACACTGGCAAGTTATTCATTGCCTTGTCAGCATCCATTGGTTTTACAGAGTACCTCAATATTAAAACAAACATTATGAAAACATATGTAAGAACTTGGCCTTCAAAATGAGCACTGAATTTTGTTCAACTCTAATTTGGGTTCATCTCACACCCACCCACTTACATAGATTTGCTGCATGTAGCCAGTTCTGTTTGTCAACGGTTCCATGCTGTTTAGACGCACATAGACTATTTTAGGGTCTGAAGTTTAGACAGTTCCTATCTGTGCGCTCCTGCTCTTCCCTATGGCTTTTGTGTCAATAGCACTGGAATTCTAAGTGATGTTGAAACCCTTACAAAAAGATACAAAATATTTATTACTATGTCAGCACTGGGTCTACATTATCTCATTTAATCATTTCAGCAAATCTAGGCTCCAGATACTATTACCATCTCCTTTGTGTGCATAGAACTGGAGCATAGAACAATTAAAAACTTGCAAGAAATATGCAGAAGGAATTTCTTTCTGCGATGGGAATTTTCTTTCCTTTCTTAGTTAAACTGAAGCACAAGAAACATTACACCTCTATTATCCTGACTTTCAGGATAAATTTCAAGTTCTCTACTTTTTGGCTTTTTTTCTTTAAGATTTATTTTTATTTATTTATGCATACAAGAACTGGAATACAGCCAGAGGTGCAGTGGGTGAGAGGATTCACCAGAGAAGAGTCGGGAGCAGAACAGGCAGATCTATTGAAATGCACTGCTGAAGGGAGCAGTGGGCAAGACAGGAGAGGTCTGCTGCACCATGTGGGTTAGCTCCCTGGCTGGGGATTGAACTCATGCCATAGTGGCTAGAGGTAGCTTGATAATGCTGAGACTTTAACCCCTGTGCGACCAGGGAGGCCCCCCTATTTTGGAATAATTTTAGGTTTAGAAAAGTTACAACATAATACAAACCTTCCCATCAATCCTTCATTTTGTTTGACTGGCCTTTCTAACACCCTTTGTATTTTTCAGGATCCAATCCAGGATCCCATGATTCAAGTTACGTGCTTCTCTTTATCTAATTAGTGCTGACATGTGAGGCAGCGTTTCCCCCTCTTTCTTCTGATCCCTATTTACTCTGCCATGAACCACTGTCAGAGAGCTAGTTTAGATCTTGGGGCTGCTGGCTCAAAAGGGAACCCATGTGCGGGAGCAATCTCAGGTTATGCGAGTGCCTGAAACTCATTTCCTACTTCTCTGCTCCCCCACCTCATTGTGCTACTCAGAAAGAGAACTTTTCATCCCTTTGTAAATACACATATATATTTACATTATTTTGCCTTTGAAGAGATGCAGTGGGTTTCTAAAGTATGCCTTGACACTGGTCATTTTTACTGTTGTTGATTTATCCAATAAGTGAGGATCTGCCTTTCTTGGAAGACTATTAAGTCTCCACACCATCAGGAGGGTTTTTGATATATGGAATCTAGGTAGCCATGCTTGGGTGTTCTTATTTTGTTTCTTTACTAGTTTTTCAACATCCTGAGTTGTTCAGTATATAGCAATTAAAGGTACTACAGTTCCCTAGTGGTCACACAATATAATTATTAGCTGAATAAGAATAATGCCCAATAAATATAACATGAAATATTATATTATTGTGTAGCAAATGAGGCTGCTGCTTAGTTGCTGTCTCTGTGCTTGCAGTGTGCCTGTAACAGTCACCTAGATAGGAAGCTTATTTTAAAACTAGAATCAAAGGCAGCAGGGGTGGGAATCAGCCTACATTAATGAACTATTGAAGCCTCTCTTTGGCACAGATGGACATTAAGTCATTGGTTAGATCTCTGGTGATTTCTCACTTGAGAAATGTGATGAAAATAGTATATTCTGGCTAATAGCAAAACCTTAGTTACCTGTCAAAATACTTTCTGACATAGAAGCTTAAAAAATATTTTAGAACCTATCTTGCTAGAGTTATTGGAAGTAGTCACACCAAGAATTTGACTTGGCAGTGACTCTTTAAGGACAGGTCTTGATAGTGCAAACTTTGGAATTAACCTGACAGGACTTCTCTACCATCATCACCTGTTTTGGTCACAATTAACAAGCTTCTCTTATGACTCAATATAGAGATGTGAGATAAGTGACATATAATTAAGTATAGGTCTTTTCTCAATTTGATTAGGTAATTATGTTGACTGTTCTCTTTTGTTTGTGAATCTCTACACTCTAGTCAAACTATATATTATATCATTTTTTAAATAGAATGTCTCAGTGTCATACTAATTTCTGTTGCAAATGAGACTGATAGCAGATCTTGATACTTATTACTCCATCTTATAATTGGAATTGACATTACCAAAAATATAATTCACTTTTTTTACCTTTGTAAAGGAGTTGTATCTATAAAGTCAAAAATACATGTTGAGTGACTCTTATGTGTTTACTTAGTGCCATACATTTTGGTTTGTAATTTAGTTAGCATGCATTTGTTGGACACATTCTTTGTGCTGTGCAATGTGGGAGTTTGAGAGTAATGAACTCATAACCCTTAAATTTTTTAGTGTATAGTTTGGAGAAAATAAGGTGGAAGAGAGGAAGGAAAAGCAAATAAAATAGGACAAGTTAAAAAAAACTCTAATTTCAGTTATTATTTTGTGAAAATGTAATCTGGTTTATGTAATTTGTGTTTCCATATTAAATTGCTGTGTTTATGGATCATAGAAGGCTTGTGTTTAGAAGTGTATACTATTTTGTTAAGAGTTGGATTAGATGATTTTCCTACCTGACCATGTGAAGGTAGCATAATTATTTGTTCTCTGAATAGGGACTTGTTTGCATGATCACACATTTAATTATTTATTAAATAAATTGTTAGTAGCATTCTTTACTAGAATGAAAAGTATTGGGTTGGAATACTATAGATGCTATCATGGACAGTAATCACAAGAGCATAGTGGACCAGGAGTCCTATATTCCTTCTCTTCCTTGCATTAATACCACCACTCACAAGCTTGACCGAAAATCTTTTAAGCTCAAAGTAGAATTTCAATGTAGCATCTTGGTAATGCCTCAGTGTTTTCTCCTTTTGCATATGACTATTATACAATAAATGGAACAGAAATATTTCCAGATATGTCCAAAAGCAGAAGGGTTTTGTGAAGCTGTATTCAACAAAGAGGGATTTTTAATTATACAAAAAATAATCAGTGGTGCCAGGATGCTAGTTTAGGTTCTATTCTAATCAATTCCAATTTAGAATCTAGAGAGGATGAGAAATTCACTGGAATTGCCCTGGTCATATATATGCAGCAGTCAATTATATTAAGTCAAAGACAGGACTCTAGAAAGTCTAGTTTAAGTCTCTGCATAGATGAAATTAAAAATATGCCTCCAGAATTATGCACAGTCAATAGAAAAGATTATGTAGATCAATTTAACTGGTGAGGAGACAAGCACTTAGGACTAGTTATAAGTCTTCATGGAAAGCCTGGAATTTGCACAGGATTTTGAAAGATAGGTTGGTTTTAGAAAGTCTGGAGAAGAATTGAAGTAATTTCAAGAGAATAACATGGTGAGAATAAAATTCCAAAGTACACATCCCCAAATGTGCCTCAGAAATAATGGTAGAGCTGTTTTACATGGTCACATGGGGAAATAACATGACAAAAGCAAAAGCAGACCTTTAGTGCCATGCTAAAGAGATCAGACTTGGTCTTGAAAGATACGATCTTGGAAAGATACAATTTTAAACAGAAGAATGACATGATTAAGTACTACACTAAATGAATGTTAATTTGGAAATACAATAAATCTGATACAGAGATTAATAGAAATAGGATAATAAATTGAAAGGTTTTTACAACAGACTAGTTGTGTAGCCAGTCTAAACCAGAGGAGGGAGAATTGGAAATATAAGGAAACAGAAGGATATGAGAGATGATTCAAAGATAAAATTGATAGTGTAAGATTTTGTGCCTGATTGGATTTGGGAGATAAGGAAATTTGAAACGAGCAAGAATGCTCAGTCTCCAAGACCGGGGAAAAGGTGATTGATTTAAACTGAGATTAATTAATTTAAACTGAGAACAGGAATACCAGTAGTACAGGGCTGTGTGAGAAAAGAAAGTCTAAATGACATCCCAATTGAGAGAGTAGGTGATCTTGATCTTGAGTTAATGGTTATCCAAATAGAGATGACCAGAAGTGCCATTCTCAATTACCTCCATGGGTATAAATACAGCAGTTCACCATTAAGAATAAAAGGCGCGGGGCCTCCCCAGTGGCACAGCAGGTTGAGCGCAGCACTGTGAAGCTGTCTGCAGCCTCTGCAGCGCCGGTTCGATTCCCAGCTGGCCAGGGAGATCCCCACATGGCACGGCAGACCT